CAATTAAGTAGTTCTCAAGCAATTGTCAGCTATTTTCCTTTCCACCATTTCAGTTTATCAGTCAATCGAAACAGTGTTTAGACAATTTAATTTTCCATTTATCATTATCATCACAGCCATTAATTTTAATCAGCCATATTGCCAATTAATATCTATATCAGATCGGTGATTCAATTCAAACTAAGCTATCAATTAAACAAACAGAAATCAGTGTTATAGTTCATAACAAATAATTACACACATAACTCATATCAGACCAATGCTTAATCATAAAATTCTTCACTGATCTTTTTCACAATAAAAAAACCCTAAGGTTTGTTATCCAGGAACTTGTTCAGAAATACTGGGATGACGTTCTATTTGCTCAAGCAATACGAGGTTTTTTATTAATAACCCAATCAATTCTTAGAAAATATCTTATATTACCCTCATTAATAATAACTAAAAATATCGTTCGTATACTTTTATTTCAATTTCCCGAATGGTCAGAAGATTTTCGGGATTGGAATAGAGAAATGTATGTTAACTCTATATTGTTCTCTCACTTTATTTAAAAGGTTAGTTTCTCATCATTAACTCTGCATTGTTCTATCCTAACCTAAATTTTACCTAGACATTTAATGTTTAATTTTCCATTTCCATCAAAAGGTTTTTCAGGTTTGTAGTGGGACTGAGTTTGGTCTTTTATTTTTTCAAGTCACTTGGTTAACTATGGATGTCCTCTAATGACTAATTAATTCTCAATAGACTTATAAGACTTATTTTGGTGAATGATGGGAAGAATAATTAGATAATTGCATCTTTATTTTTCCATTGTAAAGAATAAGTAATCTTACTTGTTGATAGCATGAATTATGTACAGTGATTCTAAAATTAATCAGCAAATATAAACTATTCACAGCAATACCTCATGTAGAACACGATCATTGGTGCATTGTGCAAGTACCTCTCCATATCAAATATTTTTGGTGTGGACTCGAAACAAAGGGGATAAGAACAAGGTCTCCACCGCTAAAAGCTATTCTGGGGACACAATTACATTTGAAATCTATAATTGTGATTTAAATGAAACTGTACAAGCTGTGACTGCCTGACAGATAACTTTATTATTGGATACTTTCGAACAATGTTATTAAAACTGACTCGGTCATTAATTCGGTCGAGGTACTGGGTCAGTGGGTCACTGGTTTAACCAGTGGATCACTGGTTCAACCGCATGACCCGGTAATTATATGTATTTTTATGATTTATATTAAAAAATTATAAGCATACTTAAATATCTAAAAAAAATGATAAAAATTTCAAATATTTTAACATAAAAAATAATAAATCACATATTATTATCCAATAAAGGATCAAACAAAAATATAATCGTGATACGGGGCTTTAGGTTCAGAAAACGACATTTCTAACTATAAATCAAATCAAAATTTTCTGAATAGTGCATAATTGAGATAATATTAATGTTGTAAGTACATAACTTATGTAAGTCAATAAGAAAAAAATATTCAAATATGTCTATTATGATTTATTTATTTTTGGAAAAATAAATAATTTGATTTTTTTTGGAACTGGGCTGAGTCAACGGTTAACCTACCGGGTCACCAATTTTCATGAAAACCGGCCGGGTCAGACCGGGTCACACCGGTTCTGATGCATGGCCGATCCGTTACATCAACCGGACCGGTTATATGACCGGTTCACCGATTCCCAGGTCGACCGGCCAGGTGGGTCCGGGTTTAATAACACTGCTTTCAAAAGCTTTTCAATGTTTGGATAAATAACTTAAATTTTTATTTGAGTAGAGCTCGTCAAATAAGCTATATTGCATGAAAGCTTAGCCAAAAAAAGTGAATGTGATTTTCAAATATTATTTTAACAAGTTCACCCAAACCAACCAAAATGCAAATAATTAGTGCGCGTTCGAATTAGTATTTTAAAATATAATCACATTTTTTAAATAGTAATTTGAGAACTCTTTTAAGAAAATAATTATTTTTCTTAAATAAGTCGAAACAATCATCCAATTATTCAATTTGATAAGCCCAAATAAGCTCATCCAAATGGTACAAAACATACAAACGTTAACATACATCAACGACAAATAAGGCTAAAATGCGGACAGGTCCATAAGTGGAGGTTCAGTTCAGACAACTTGGTCTTGTCTTCAATTTTTGTCGATGTTGATGTGTAAAATTAACTGGTTTTGTTGGATGATTTTTTTTTTCTTTTGGATATATTGAAGAATTGAACATATAACCTATTACATAATTATCCATACCCCTCACCACTAGCCTAACCCTAGTAGCTTTTTGTTGGATGATCTTTGACAACCAAGCTGAGCAGTACTTCAGGCCTTGAATAGTGTCCAACCACATTAAATTCGAACTTATAGCTCTTGCTATTTCTCCAAGATCTGCAAAAAAATTTCAAGAATCAGAGCGTAACATTTAAATTCTTTTTACGAAGACAAATAAAGTAATCCACAACAGAAAACCTTTAAGGGAGCACGAGAGACATAATATTAGTCTTAAGTCAACCATGATTGCTAAGACCCTTGTAGTGATAGCGGAAGGTAACGTGTTAATAGTGCTGTTTGGAATCTGAACCACGTTGTTTCATAAATTTGTTAAACCGAACAGAAGCAAGATTACTGAGGTTCATGCAAGTTTCCAGAAGTTTTATTTGGTTCGGTTTCGTTATCAAGAAGACCATTTTTACCACCAAAAAAAAAAAAAAAACTCGATTTACTTTATATTTGGCCCTTTTGAAATTATAGCCTACAGGGTTAGAAGAAAAAGGAGGAAAAGTGAAAAAACTTGAATTTTGATAATATCATATTTGAATATATTTTATAATAATGAAAAAATCGAATATGTCATTGCTTTGCGTGTATAGACTAATAATCTTGGTCATGCATTGGTGGCCCTACTAACATAAGTCCAGCCAACCTAATAAGATTAATAACCTCACAAAATTCGTGAAATACTCACTCTTAGGTTTAGTATGCTCTTTTCACTTAAGTCTAATAGTTTTAGTGAGAGTGAGTCCAAAGTCCAATTTTAACCTTAAGCTTCATGCTTAATTTTGGATTGGGCAAAGTATATAAACACTATTTTCTCCCTTGTGCCTCCTAGGGTTACAGACATCAAACACACCTAAGAAGTAGACGTTCATCATCTGAACGGTTGCCTACACGACCACCTGATCCCTTTGAGTCATAGCCTGAAAGATCAACCGTAGAGCAGAATTGCGACCGTTCGTGGTGCGTTGATGCAGATCGTGAGACTTGAGGAGGAGAACAGAACGTGAGAAACTGTCACGCTCGCTGCTTCATCTCAGGTAATCAAAGCGGTGTTCTTCATTCCTCATCGCATCGGTACGATGCGCTTCCGCGTTTCTGATGATATACCTTCAATTGGTATCAGAGCCAGATTGTGATGGGGATTTAGATCAGCTTTGATTTATTGATTTATTTTTGTTATTTTGAAAATATGGCACCTTTATTCTGTATCTGTTGTTGATACTCATGTTTTAGTGAGAGTGAGCCCAAAGTCCAATTTTAACCCTAAGCTTCATGGTTAATTTTGGATTGGGCAGAGTATATAAACACTCTTTTCTCCCTTGTGCCTCCTAGGGTTACAGACATCAGAAACACACCTAAGAGGCAGACGTTCATCATCTGAACGGTTGCCCACACGACCACCTGATCCCCTTGAGTCATAGCCTGGAAGATCAACCGTAGAGCGGAATTGCGACCGTTCGTGGTGCGTTGATGCAGATCGTGAGGCTTGAGGAGGAGAACAGAACGTGAGAAACTGTCACGCTCGCTGCTTCATCTCAGGTAATCAAAGCGGTGTTCTTCATTCCTCATCGCATCGGTACAATGCGCTTTCGCGTTTCTCATGATATACCTTCACTCACTACCTGGAAAATTCATGACATACTTATTAAGTATCCTATATTCTAATATATTTTTAATAGATTCCAAGTGTTCCAAATTTTAATGGTCCCACAAATCGAATTTCGGATTTGAACATTTCCATTAATTTTATATTCTAATATTCTAACACCTGGAAGTTCACGGAAGAAGCAAATATATCAGACATCATGTATGCATAAAACATAATTTACTTGCGGAAACTATCTGACTAAATTACTAATTACAAGTAAAGTAGCTAAATATGATCTAATTGCATTTAAAATATTTATCATTGGTTCAACCTTTATCTTAAGAGAGGTATTTCTTGACTCTATTAATTAGAGTGTAGTAAAATACTCTTCACCTAACATCTTAAGATTTTGGATTAAGGTGGTTCTTTACATAGTAACAGAATTTCAGTGATCACAAAGTTACGAGTTCGATCCTCACCACTTCCCACTTATGAAATTAAATAAGCATATGATAAATCAAAAATTGAATCTATCCAGTAATCCACGCTTAATATTTATCGTTGGTTCAACCTTTATCTTAATAGAGGTCTTTCTTGACTCCATTAATTAGTCATGCAGATAAAACAGTGAAGTAATAATTGTATGCTGAATAAAGTGGATCGTTCATGTGTGTGGTTCAGCTACCTCCATGGAACAATAATTGATCTCTGATAGAGAGAAGCAAGCTTGACTTCCATGGAACAATAATTGGTATCCAAAATTTGTGTATGGTCCATGTGTGGTTCCCAGCCACTACAATCTCCCACCTGTTTTTCTTTGGAATCTATCCTTATTTTAAACTGTATCGTCTTTAGATTCAATATTTCTTTCGTTATGATTTTCTATTATCAATTCTGCCGTTATTTAAATTAATTTATCAAAGTATCGAAATACACCGATCCAGCTAATTTAATATAAATGTGTTGTTGAAATTGATATTGATTAGAATATTAAATTTTTTAATTCTTTTAATTAAATTAACTTTTTTTTTGTATACATTAATGAAATTAACTTTAGGTATGAGACTCATAACATTTTTAAGAAATATCTATACTTGCACTTTAAAAATATTTTATTCTAATATTTAAAAAATATTAAATTCATTTAAAATCAAAATTCACTTTGCACACAACTCATGAAACACAAGACAACGGAATCAATAGGAACAATTCCGAGCCAGTTAATTCACATATTAGGTTGAAAAGCTCACCCATGGCAAGTGTCTCATTGGTCTCAGCTGCAGCAAGAAGGTAAAGGAAGTTGCAATTTTACATTTTTTTATTTTATTTTATTTTATATATTTTATTTTTTTAACACAGAAGAATTGTAAGCTATCTAACACAACATGCCATGTCCAAATGATTTTTACAAGGCTTGAAGGGAAAGTGACATTGATCACTGGTGGTGCTAGCGGTATAGGTGAAGCCACTGCAAGACTCTTCTCTAAGCACGGAGCTGAAGTGGTGATAGCTGATGTTCAAGATGATTTGGGTTACTCTGTTTGCAAAGATTTGGAATCCTCATCCTCTGCTTGCTATGTACATTGTGACGTGACAAAGGAAAATGAAGTTGAAAATGCTGTAAACACTGCGGTTTCTAAGTATGGAAAACTAGATATCATGTTTAACAACGCTGGTATAACTGGTGTGAACAAAACCAACATAGTTGAAACCAAGAAATCTGAATTTGAGGAAGTGATTAGTGTTAACTTGGTTGGTGTCTTTCTGGGAACAAAGCATGCTGCAAGGGTCATGATTCCTGCTAGAAGGGGTAGCATAATTACAACAGCTAGTATTTGTGGAAGCATTGGTGGCGTGGCTTCACATGGTTACACAAGTTCAAAGCATGCTGTTGTGGGACTCATGAGAAACACTGCGGTGGAGCTTGGAGCATTCGGTATTCGGGTGAATTGTGTCTCCCCTTATGTGGTTGCAACACCGTTGGCTAAGAATGTCTTGAAGCTTGATGATGAGGGACTTCGTGGGATTTATTCCAATCTGAAAGGTACTGATCTTGTGCCAAAAGATGTGGCTGAAGCTGCTCTTTACTTGGGAAGTGATGAGTCCAAGTATGTTAGTGGTCACAATCTTGTGATAGATGGTGGGTTCACAGTTGTCAACCCTGGATTGTGCGTTTTTGGACAATCTGTGTAAAAAATTGCCTCCATCTATCTGTATGCATCTCCTTGAGCAATTAATTGTTGATGTTTTCAGTGAATTTGTATCAGGGTTTTATCGGCTAGTATCTATATATCTGGTTTGTTTGTTTTAGTGTTGGTATTAATAATTTTTATTTTGTTTTAATCAAATGAGCCCATAAAACTAGGGCTCAGTTGTATGCATGTCTTTGAAGTTTGAAGTTTGAACCATTGTTGATGTTTTCAGTATTTGTATCTGGCTTGTTTTGGCTAATATCAATATAATGGTGCTTCGTGACTCTGTTTTAAAGGCTCTGCAGTTTATAAGCTTTAGCTGTCACTGTCATCATGTGAGTTTAGCACTTGTATCTCACAATAGTGACAATACTTTCTGGTTAAAGGATTCACCTCTTTGTCCAAATAACTTAGCTATACCGGATAAAATTGGTTTTATGCCTTATTTAATGGATTTTTTTTTTTTTCAAATAGATGAGCGTTTGAGCCTAATAAAATACAATATTTAATACTTAGTAATTAGTATTGTATCTTTGGAGATGACAGAGACATAACTGACAGCATGTTTGATAAGGTCTGATAGTATAAAGTTTGATTGTGTAAGACTTGATTAATTTTTAACATTACCCAGTGTTTGACATAATATTATTTAAGATAATATTATTTTCTCTTATAGAAAATAATATTATCTAGTGTTTGGTAATGTATTATATAATACTAGATATTATAAAAATAAATATTTTTGACAAAAATATCCTATAATAAAAAATTTATATAATTCTTTCAAATAAGTCATATGATATCAATTTTTATAAAAATCTATTTATCATTATGTCTAAATAATATATTATTTTTTTTAGAAATAAAAATTTCCAATATTTTGAAAAATAAATTCAGGACTACAATATATATTAAATTAAAAAAATCATGGAATTTTAAGTGGAAGCATAAAGACTCCCAATCAATGTTATTAAAATCGGCCCGGTCATTGACCCGGTCGAGGTACTGGGTCACTGGTTCAACTAGTGGGTCACTGGTTCAATCGCATGACCCGATAATTATATATAATTTTATAAAAAATTATAAACATATTGAAATATCTAAAAAGATGATTAAATTTTAAAATATTTTAATATAAAAATAATAAATCACTTATTATTATCCAATAAAGGATCAAACAAAAATATAATGATCGTGATACGAGGCTTTAGGTTCAGAAAATGACATCCCTAACTATAAATCAAATCAAATCTTTTTGCATAGTGCATAATTGAGATAATATTAGTATTGTAAATGCATAACTTATGTAAGTTAATAAGCAAAAAAAAATTTAAATATGTCCATTATGATTTTTTTTTTGAAAAAAAAAAATTGGAACTTTTTTTTGTGACTGGGTCGGGTCACCGATTTTCATAAAAACTGGCCGGGTCGGACCGGGTCACACCGGTTCTGATGCATGGCCGGATCGTTGCTTCAACCGGACCGGTTATATGACCGGTTTACCGGTTCCCGGGTTGACCCGACCGGGTCGGTCTGGGTTTAATAACACTGCTCCCAATACACTTCACAGAATTTTAAGTCGCTCTTTTACTTTGGAGCATCATTCAAGTTTAGAGACAAATTGTACCAATTAGAAAAAGGATAAAAGCAAAAAGTTAATTTTGTTTCCTTCTAATAAATTTACTTTTGCATCATCACAGGGTACTCATGTTGCGTAAAATCGGCAAGTGCACTGATCGTACCAAGTAATAAAGGATGAGTAGAGTATCGTCTCCACGAGGATTGAGACACCTAAGTTGTTATAACTATTCCTCTCTTGTTGGATTAAGCAAAATAGGTTGAGAACAATTGTGGTTTATGAAATAAACTAAAACAATTAAAGAAAAAGTAAATGATTCCAAAAGCTCTTTTAGAATGCAAGAACAAAAGATTAAAGATGGATAAAATATTTGAAAGAATATTGCGGTAAAGAGAAACAAACACCTTTCCGATCCCCACCTTGCAACTTGGATTACGTTTACATTTACCTATTCAATTGATCAAACGATTCATCATCTTTTATATGATTAGTTAAGCCCTAATCCCTTAGTGGCTTTAACCTTATTAACTCTATGAGAATCGTAATCCCTTAGAAATCCCTTTTCGAGTTAACCCTTAGAATCAGTGAATCTTTAACGTTCACGGTTCATGTAGCCTATCCCTAGTGCGTACATGAAAAGTTATCTTATTCTTTGTCAGGAATTAGAATTCCAACATCCCGATTGAAAACCCTAACCCTCGCAATCCTACTAGATTGATCAGTTCCAATAGAATTATAGAATGAAGAACAAGAAAAGATAAATTCAATTAAAATAGATAAACATAAATTTCAACCAAACTACAAGGGGTTCACATCAAGGGTTGTGACCCTTACCACAATGATTAAACTAGGCAGACATGTTCATGTCTAACAAAATAACGATAAAAGAAAATAGCATTTAGAACCTAAAAGAGGAAAGGAAGATGAAGCTCTTCTGTCTTGATGATTGAATCCTTGAATCTCCCAGAAGCTTCAAGGAATTCCCACTCTCTTTGTTGTTTTTCTCTTCTTGATTGTCAAAAAGTTCTTCCTTCTTCTGTTTCTGATCCTTTTATTAGGTTTTGGGAAACATACTTTCAAGTGCTCTCCAATTGGGCCTCCTTTTTGGCTAATTCGCATCAGAAAACACTCAAATTTATCGCCCACGCACTTTGCGCCAGGCTTGGCGCACCGTGGTTGGGAAAACAGAAGAGGAGCTGCAAAATGGCGCACCGTGCGCCGCCTCCCGCACATCGTGCTCCGGGTTGGCGCGCCGTGCGCCGCCTCCCGCGCACGGGGCACGGTGAAACATAAGCAAACCGTCGTTTTGGCTCGGGGTGCGCTAGGTACCGCGCACCATGCGCCGGTCCCGCGCACCGTGCTCCGTCTCAGCGCGTCGTGTGCCAGCGGGAACTTTGGCTTCTCCGTTTTTTTGCTCCTTTTGTGGCGTTTTCTGCTATTTAAACACATAACTTGAGTGAGAGCATGATTGAGAAGGAATAATCAATATTTCGTACATTTAATGACTATTTTCACCTATTTATGATTAATTCCTTGCTTCTTTTAAGTTAGAAAACATCATATGTTAGATGCACATCAAACAATTCCCAGATTTAGATGTTGCTGTCCTCAGCAATAAACAAAATTAAATCATAGGAAGCAAGGTTTAATTAATCAAGCATAACATTGCACAGACAATCATAAAGATTACTATACTAAGCATGAATGATTTCCAAGTCAAAGCTTAAAACGATGCTTATCAACTACATTCAAATATCAGAGTCTACTTGATTACCCCTCACAAGACATAATATTCACTCATCACTCAGTGTTTGAGGGTATTCATCATCACTCATTCCATCACAGCTATTGTACTACCATAAGCTTGATCTTTTTCTCAAGTTCCTAAAGATGAGGAACATCAACACATGCATGATTGATCAAAATGGCTTCTCAAGGTTATAACTTGGCTTGGCTTAAGGTTAGGCTTTTTTGGAAAGTGGCTGAATAATCATTGAGATTGAAACACCATTTTCATTAAGACTCAATCATCTCTCAATTCAATTTTCAGCTCCACTTTTTATTCGAATTCATGATTCCTTCCTTTTTCTCACCTTTTCCTTCATCATTGCTTTTCTATTTTTGCAATTTACTTTTCTTCCTCTTTAAATTCACGTGGAAACTATTCTTTTCTTTTCCTTTTCAACTACTTAACTTCTAGTGGAGCTTACCTCAATCACTTCTAACTTTTTGATTATTGACATTTCAATCTCAATTAAGGTAAGTTCTGATGGAAGTGGTCTAAACAGTTTAATAAGGTAATTGAACAAAATGGTCTCAGGCTCAACATGGCTAGCAATGGATGATTTCTCAGGTGGCTATTTGGCCATAAGCTTAATAGAATAAAATGCCTCTATCATTTCAATCAACACATGCATTGGAGAGAATTAGATCAAATTCTAGAGTACTACTGCAGCGAGGACTCTAAAAAAAAAAAATTTACTGTATAGGCACAAACCTCACAAGCTGTGGTATCAAACTAGATTCTTCCTAATTTCATCCCAAGCATCATTATCCATTATTAACATAGAAATCAAACAAACGAGCAATCATAATCTCTATTCATGCTCTATGCAATGTCATGACAATACTGTATATCATGCAACGCTTCCTCATTTTCAACCAAGGAATTGACTGAGTAGCACATCTAAATCTGAAATGTGCTTTCAGATAACAGAAAATGAAACTAAAAACAAAAATTTACTACTAAAAAAATTAAACTGGAAAGGTTAAAATAACTCCCCTGAAATGGCTATGAATCTGCTGAACCTTTTCTGTTGTTCCTCTATGTGTGATACATAAAATAACGCGTATGCGGCCCAATTCCTATATTTAGAATATTGTTGTCCTCAGCAATAACTAAACTAGTCAGAGAAAGTGCTGTTGCGCAAGTATAAACAACACACATGTGAAATATTAGGCAGAAAATAAAATGACCAATGTACTGGAGAATTACAATTCAAAATACCAAAGAGGTTCAAATGACCCTAACAGAAACCTAGATGGTCAAACAAAAACAACGAAAATAAAAGTAACAAAAAATAGCAAATAGTAATGCAGATGATGTCCTCCATAATCACTCCTCATCCATGCTGTCGTGATGCTCTGCTGGTGGTTGATATGATGGTGGTACCGGTGGATACTGTGGCTGGTAAGCAGTGTAGTCAATGGTCAGATGCTGGCAGATGTCCTCAAACATACGAGTGTGATACGCTCCCTGTATAGTCTATATGTCGCTCTGAATGACCAAGCGGTCCAGCTGAGACTGCATCTGGAGATAGCAAGGAGAATCCTCTTAGACGAGGTCATGCCGTGGGGCTCTGAAAGTGGAGGAAGATGATGCCCTAGCACGGATGGGTGTCTCAGGCCATGACTCCTCAGATGAAGCACGTGGTGCTTGGCGAGGGCTCCTAGCATCTAATTCTTCAGGAGTCAACTTAGAGGCTCGGACAATCTGTTCTTTCCTAGCATCTTCGACTAGATCTGTGTAGGTCTTATTTGTCATGGTCCTGTCCAATGGGACATCTCGGGGCTCCTCAAGTAGGATGGCAACTCCAGCCTTAACATACAGATGCATAATCAGGGAGGAGTGTGCAATCCTATTTTTGTTGTTACCATCCTGAATGACCTTGATGATCCTATCAGATAGAACTCTACC